CGCTTGGCAAAGTCGAGCCAATGTGCCTCAGGGTGACCCCACGGTTACTCATTTGCATAAAGAACTACATGACCATGGACAGGCTATAGCAGAACTTACAACTACAATGAACCAATTGGCAAAGGCACAGTTGCAACAAGTCCAAAATCCTCGCCAAGTGAATGCTATGGAGGGTGTTAACATGCTAGTGAACCAAAGAAGGCGAAGAGGTCAACAGAACCAAGGGAATTCGGATCAATTTGACAATTATGGTAATGGATATCAAGATGATGGCTATGATGAGAAAAATGAGGAGGTGCAATATGTGAATAATTACCAAGGCCAAAGAGGAAATTCTTCCAACCAACAACAACAATGGCGATCCCAGGGCAATTGGGGTAACCAATAACAAGGCAACAATAATTGGAACAATCAACATCAAGGGAATAACAATTGGGGAAATCAAAATAACAACCGCAACAATCAAGGAAATTGGGGCAACAACAACAATTGGGGTGGAAATAACAACAACCAAGGCGGGTGGAACAATAACCAAGGAAATCAGGGGCAAGGCTTTCAAAGGCCCCTAATGTACCAACAACCGAGCAATCCACCACCTTTTCCTTCCCAGGGTCCTAGTTCATCCAACAATGAAATGGGTAGAATTGAAATGATGTTCGAACAAATGATGAAAAAGAATACGGATTCCGATGCGCAATTGGCTTCTCACAATACTTCAATTAGGAATTTGGATGTGCAACTAGGTCAAATCTCTCAATCACTAAATACACTCCCTAAGGGTGCTACCAAGTGATACGATAGTGAACCCAAAGGGAGGAAACAATCATGTTATGGCTGTGACAACTAGGAGTGGACAAGGCGGTGATGTGAATGCCTCCAAACAAACGCAAGTTTTGGGTGAAGAAGTTGAGTTGCAAGAAGATGAAGTTCCTTTGGTGGTTGAGAATATGGTTGATGAAAATGTGAATGAAGAAGTGAGGATCAATATTCAAGATGCCGAGGTGGAAACACAAAGTGATGTGAACCCGTCTAGGGAGCACGTAATTGACATGCCGGAGCCGGTTGTGCCAAAAGCCAATGCACCTTTGCCTAGGCCACCTCCCCCTTATCCTCAGAGGCTAGCCAAGCAGAAAAGTGAGAATCAATTCAAAAAGTTCATTGACATGATGAAGAGCTTATCCATCAACGTGCCTTTGGTGGAGGCTTTGGAGCAAATGCCCGGTTATGCTAAATTCATGAAAGATTTGGTGACAAAGAAAAGATCCATGGACTGTGAAACTATCAAGATGACCCACCAAGTTAGTGCTATAGTACATTCAATGGCTCCGAAATTAGAGGATCCCGGTGCTTTCACTATCCCCTGCACTATAGGGAGTGCAGACTTTGCTAAAGCCTTATGTGATCTTGGGGCAAGCATCAACTTAATGCCCTACTCAGTTTTCAAGACTTTGGGTATTGGGCCTCCGAGGCCAACTTCCATGCGATTGCAAATGGCAGACCGATCTATGAAGCGACCATTGGGTATTGTTAGTGATGTGCTCGTCCGGGTGGACAAATTTATCTTGCCAGCTGATTTTGTAATCTTGGATTGTGAGGTAGATCATGAGGTCCCGATCATATTAGGGAGACCTTTCCTTGCTATGGGGAAGGCTCTAGTGGATGTGGAAGCAGGGGAACTCACTTTCAGGGTGGGTGATGAAAAGGTTGTTTTTCATGTGTGCAAGTCAATGAAGCAGCCCAATTGTACCGAAGTGTGCTCATTTGTGGATTTAGTCACGGCTGTGATAATTGATGATACTAGTGCAATGATCAATGTTGAGGACCCTTTGGAGGTCGTATTGTTGAATTTGGATGTCAATGATGATGCGGGTCGAGTGGAGTGCGTGAATGTTTTGCATGGAATGGGCTCTTATTCTTATGAGCCTAGGAAGCTATCCTTGGACCTTGAAAATAGAAAAACTCCTCCTACAAAGCCTTCAATTGAGGAACCCCCGGTGTTGGATTGAAGCCATTACCTCCACACCTCAGGTATGAATTCTTGGGCTCTAATTCAACTTTACCAGTTATTCTGTCCTCTTGTCTTACTAACATGCAGGTAGATTCCACATTGGCGGTGCTCAAAAAGCAGAAAAAGGCAATTGGATGGACTCTAGCTGATATTCGGGGTATAAGCCCCGCATTCTGTATGCACAAGATTATTCTAGAAGATGATTCAAAACCCTCCCTGGAACATCAAAGGAGGCTCAATGAGGCGATGCAAGAAGTGGTGAAAAAAGAGGTTATCAAGTGGTTAGATGCCGGCGTGGTATATCCTATCTCTGACAGCTCATGGACTTCTCCGGTGCAATGTGTGCCGAAGAAGGGTGGTATGACCGTGGTGACCAATGCTAACAATGAACTTATTCGGCCATCATTACGGCGATCTTTCCTCGACTCCGTTTGGACTGACGTTAGCCGTTGGATTGGACCGTTGAGGTTATCCTCGTCTGCTCTCACCTCGGTGCAATAGGCGTTGTGGATTTCTTCCCAAGTGGTGGGAGGGTATTTCATGAGTCTGCTTAACAATTTTCTGATCGCCCTCAACCCATTCCTGTTTAACCCATTTTGGAAAAATGCCACCACCGTCCTTTCTGATACGTTTGACAAGCTCATTCTTACTCTGTTAAATCGAGTGAGGAAGTCTCTAAGTCCCTCGCCTGGTGTTTGCCTGACGGCGAATATATCATTCACCCTGGACTCCGCCTTCTTAGCTCCGGCATGGGCGGTGACAAACTTGTCGGCCATTTCCTCGGACGTTGTTATTGGACGTGCTGGTAAGTGTGAGTACCATGTTAAGGCTCCCCACATTAGGGTTTCGCCAAACTTCTTTAGCAACACTGATGGTACCTGCTCCTTTGAGAGGTTGTTGCCTTTTACTGTTGTCACGTAATGAATGATGTGATCTTCGGGGTCTGTTGTGCCGTCGTATATCTTCAAATATGGTGGCATTTTGAAGGTCTTGGGTATGGAATGTGGGGATGCTTCCTCGCTGTACGGTTGTTCGATAAACCTACCGACATCTCGTTTTGATAGCAGTTTTGGGGTGTCCGGTATCTTATCAACCCTTTCTTGGTGTTCTCTCATCTGGTCGCGGAACGCTTTATTCTCGTTCTCCATTTCTTCCATTTTCTTTAGGATGGCCGCAAGTGCGTCGTTACCTGTCAACAGCGGTGTGAGTGTTACCTATTGGTGGAGTTGGTTGCTCGTTAGTGTTTGCTATGGTATCCACTTGTATGGCGTTTCTATTCGCCCTTTGTACGGGTTTGTCGAGTATGTTGCTTAGAGTGCTTGTCAGCCACGTCTCCAGTAGTTTTTTGATTGCTGGTGGCGCTTCCTCAGTTGTGGACATGGAGTCTCCCCTTTCGCGTGAAGCGGTTACACTTCCATGAGGGGGAGGTGAGTCGCTTCGCCTGGTTGTAGCACTCGGCGTCGCATTCTCCTCGCCTTCTCTGTCAACCTCGTTGATGGTGTTCAAGAGGTTGGCAGTGATTTCTACTACTGCTTTCAGTCTTTCATCTCCTTTTCTTGCCATTGTTAGTTCGTGCAAACGAGAAAAAGATGGATGATGTTGTTGTTTTTTTTATCTAGAAGGAACTAAAATTTTAACTAGAAAGTCCCCAAAGACGGCACCAAAATTGTCTGACCAAAAAGTGTTAAGCTTTTTGTTAAACTAATTAATGAGAAAATACAGGGTGAATCCTAGTTAAACGTAATAAATTCTAGATCTGAGATTGTGAGGATATCCGTAGGATGAGGTCGTGTTCAAGAATATTAAATATCAAGTATATGACCAATGATTGTCAATGAATGTAATGATAGAATCATGCAATAAATGTAGATAATGGCAATAAACGTAATAAGAAGGAATTTATCACCCAAATATTAGGTGACTTGGATAATTTTCCTCCCTAGCAACAACGTGGGGTGATAAACAATGAAGATGGATAAGGAATCTTTGGATCTTGTGAATGAATAACGTAAAACGAGTAATGAAATCAGTGAATAAGCTTTTGTATATTCTCCCCAGTCAACTCTTTACAATGTGATCTTATCAAAAGTGAAGTTCCCCTTTTTGTTCTTTATCTCTTCCTATTTATAGGGGATATTCTTAAAAACCCTAAAAAAGTACAGTTGGAGGAATATTCAGTGGAATATTCCTTCTTTTTAATTTATCTTATCCTACCGTTATTCACACACCCTTTGCTTGACCTCGGCCCTAATCTTTTTTAAGGCGGCTCCTCACCCTCACACTGTGGTAGGCTTATTCTTCGATCATGTCCATTTGCAGCTAATAAGTCTTAGCCAAATTTTGACCAATACAGTTGGTTCATTTTTCGATTTTGTTGAGTTTGATTGTTCGAAGAAGTGGGTCTATCGACTCTTTGAAGATATTAGTTAAATTTAACAGTTAAAATTTTTTGGGATTGTTATTAGAAGGTTGGATGTAAAATTAAATATGATTTGGATCAATTTTGAAGCAAAAATGTATTGGTGAAATTTCTGTCAAAGTCCAGACGATCAGTGAATATGTAAACAATTTATACCATTAGCAAAAACAAAAACAAAAAACAATTTATACCAAAACTCAACGTATAAATTAATGTATATCAATTTGGTTTCACTATAGTCAAATTTATAATATTTCATTATGGTAAAATAGTCTTTTATTATCAACTTAGTTACCTTTCGATAGAGCAGATTATAAAATTATACTCTCTCCATTTAAAGTCATAGTTTGAATTGATGTAAAGTTTAATAAAAAGAGAAAGAATTTTAAAATTTGTGGTGTCAAATATATTAATATATTTGTTTAGCTATAAAGCTTTTAAAAAATTGTAGGAATATGTCAATTTTTTTGTACAGATTAATTAGAACTAATAGTATCCATCTTTTAGAAAAGTAAGGAGTAATATTTAAGAGTAAAGAAATGGAGAAAAAAAATGCATTTGAAATCAATATGTTTGAAAGATAATAAAACAAAGAGAGGGTGGAAAGGAGTGATGGGTTAGCTGTGGCTCCAATTCCTACACGAACATCATCCTCAAATTTGCCCAAAACCAATTTACTTAATCACAAAGCGTACTATAGAAAGCACATTCATTATCAAGAACACCCAATTGGAGTAACAGTTAATTCAAAATTCCAATGGAGCTATGCAGAGTACCAGCTGCTACTACTGCATTTGCATGGACAAATTCCATCTCCTCTACCCTTCAACTCCCTCAAACTCTCTTTGTATGCATTCCCCCCACTTTATTCCTCATTTTATATATAAAAAAAAAAATAGTATTTTTGACATTTGTAGTAGCAAGCAGCCTTAAATCATTCATCTGTTTTATTTTTCATTGAAAATAGGTAGGAGGTGGGTCTAAAAGATTCAGAGTTTGGTGTGTGAATGGAAACATTGAGTCTCAGAAGGTATTGCTCATTCCACATTGTTCAAATATTTGTATTTTGAAATTTTTGGTGCTTGTGATGATTTCTGCTGCCAAATTATCTACCTAGTTACTTATGTAGCAGTGCTTAACTTTGTTGAGATGAAATATACTTTTCTTTACTGGTTCAGGAAAGTCAGATGGTTGTATCAATTACTGGAGCTACTGGATTTATTGGGAAAAGATTGGTGCAAAGATTGCAAGCAGGTATTCCCCCCACTACGACCCCATTTGCGTCGCAATGTTTGATTGGATATTATATATATGGAGTCTAATAAAACAAAAGACTCTTGAATAGATATGCATCAAGTACCAAAAACACCAATTAATTGGACCTACAATAAGTCAAAAGTCAATTGCAAAATGGGAATGTAAAAGTAACTAGTCACTAAATGTAGATACAGATCGATTTAGGACGATTGAATGAGGAAAGAGTGCCAACAAATTTGAGCGGAGGAAGTATTTGTAAGCATTTAGGAAATGTGTGTGTGTGTATTCCTCGGTCTGTAGGCTGAGGATGTGCACGCACGTGCTGCCTTCATTATACTGCTCATGGTTCTGCCCAGTTTATATGGTTCTTTACCATGACTGTAGAACTTGATTATGAGTCTGCGCTCAGCATTGGGCGAGAATTTTTTAAGTAGAAAGGCATATTCCTTGTTTGCTATTGACTTACACCATTATGGGCAGGTTCATAAGTCTTGGCATGTCCTTTTTTTTTTTTTTTTGCTGATGAAATAGTTCAAGTACCAAATGTGTCTGCTAAACTAATTGAAGCTGGTTAAAAATTTAAATTAATATTTTGGTTATTGGGTTGCTGCTGAGTAACACTTCTATATAAGAGACATTGTCATACATGACGCTGTTCTGAATTGAACATACCATAAGATTTGATTTTTCCCAACGATGGGTCACATAACTGCTATTGTAGAATATGCACGTCATTAATTAAGCTTAACTAGTCCTTACTTCTTGTCTTAAATGCAGATAAGCATCAGATTCGAGTGTTAACAAGGTCAAGATCCAAAGCACAATCATTATTTCCGGGTAAGAAGGTAATGATTGTTTTGATTCACCCACTGTACTTCAGCATTACTCTCTCTTCTGTGGAAAATGATAGCAATAGTGTCGGAAAGCTTAGACTGTTTTATAAGTAGAATCGTTCTAGCCTAAAGGAATGTCACAAGCTCACTGGTCACCTAACTTTTTATTATTTTTGCTTCTTAATGAAGTGTAGGCGCTTTTGCTACTCCTTTGTCCTACGACCTTCTTTTATTTGATCTTATGTAAACAAGATGTTGTCAGCAGTCATTGAAACTGTATTTTGTTTGTGTTTTTCCAGTTGTGCTTCCAACTTTTAACATTTGACCTCTTCATATTCTTGTGGAAATGTGCAGTTAAAGATTTTCCAGGACTTGTAATTGCTGAGGAGCCAGAGTGGAGAAACTGCATTGAAGGTTCAACAGCTGTTGTAAATTTGGCTGGAATGCCCATTAGTACTAGATGGTCCCCTGAGGTATTTGGAGATCATTTGATGGCCTTGTATTCTCTATCTCTCCTATTCTTTTTTGTTTCCTTTTCCAAGATATTTAAGGAAGACAAGTTATATACATCCCTATGGATAGATGCATTCTTACTTAATATCTTCATCCGAATATTTAAGATTTTGACCTTTTTGTATTGTATGTTTCCCTTCCGACGAATGATCAGTAGTTCATTCTGCAATGTAAGATACATATATTAACTTTTCAATGTATCGCTGCAGATCAAGAAAGAGATCAAGCAAAGCAGGATTAGAGTAACCTCCAAGGTCTCCTCTTCTCTGTTAGCTTCATGCGAAATAGCATAGTGAAAGAGGTCAATTCATTTTAAGGATTTATCTATAACAGCAGAAGATATTGACAGGAATTTGAGAAATCTCTGTTGACCCTGTAGGTTGTGGATTTAATCAATAATTCACAGGATGATGATCGCCCCAAAGTTTTAATAAGTGCATCAGCAGTTGGTTATTATGGTATGGAGACCAAGTTCATGTATCACTTTGTTATACTGTTCATATATTGTTGTGTTGTTTTATTGGCTCCCAAAGAACTTCCAAACTAGAACTTGTAAGCATGCTAGCATTCCCATAGTATCTCAAAATATATGTATGTTTATGGAGCACGCCAAGGCTTTCAGCCGCTTATCTTCTTAATGCTTTATAGTGATAATCGAATTCTTATGTGCATTCCATCTCCATGATAAATCCACCTGATTTCCGTACTCAGGAACCAGTGAGACTCGAGTGTTTGATGAGCAAAGTCCGTCTGGAAATGACTACTTAGCTGAGGTAAATCTGATGGGTTTTAACAGTTGCATACATATAGAGTATGTTAAATATTTTTGGTTCTCATGTTTAATTTAGAATCTAATTTCCGGTATCTTGATTTCTTTTAGGTTTGTAGAGAATGGGAGGGAGCTGCACTCAAAGTCAATAAAGATGTCAGGCTTGCTCTAATTCGCATTGGTGTTGTCCTTGGAAAAGATGGTGGTGCTTTAGGTATGCTTTCTTTTTTATTCTTTTCATTTTGTTTTGATAAATAATAAATTAGGTATGCGCTTTTATTTATATCCCATTTCTACATTGTTGCTCTTGATTGTTACAATTGTGATTGAAAACAAATTTTGGAAATTTTATTCCTCTTTACATTAAAGGTTCCCCATTTGTGGCAGCACAATGTAGTTGATAGCAATTAAAGTAGCAACAGATTTGACATAAACACTAGATTGGATTGGAGACCGAAGTAACACTCATTAGGTTATGTTGTAATAGAAGTAGGTTACAGCTGAGCAGACCTCTCAAGATTAGCAGTTTGTAAATAGAAATCGGTTTTGTTTATTCTTCTTTTATTGGGGTTGGGGTGGGTGCAACTTACAGTGTGCATGAGCTGGTGCCGATTTATGCATTTATTCATGAGGTGACATAAAATTTAGAGATTGGGAGTGAGTTGATCTTAACTATCTATAGCGAAGTAAAATTTGTTATTGATTCATCTTTTAGAAAATAAAACTTAGATAATTAAAATCCAAAAAAGATGGAAATGATTTTGCATTTTGAAAAATTGTACAACACGGATCAAGTTAATAAAAAATTTCACACACCAAAAAGAAGGAACATTTATTCAGGTTTGAAAAAGAATTTATTTTTTAACGAAGGGACAACAAGAAAATCGTGGTACATTTTTCTTCCTAAGAGAAGGTCATTATGAAAATCTTCTCGCATAGTTGAAGTCGGCATACGATTTTTAGTCAAATATTTCAAGGGTGCTATGTTTCTTTTCTTTCACTGGCTTTCACTTTGGTGCATTTCTTGTTGGCCTTTGGGATCCAATGGCTCTTTATTGTCATACAAAACATCATTTCAATGCATCTAATATAATGCATGACTACGGTCAGACAACATCCCTATATAACAGTCATTCACAATAAAAGTCATGTTTTTCTTATAATCGATTTTTTATGTTATGTTTTACCTCTTTATAACAACTTTTTAGCGATAACAACAACTTCCATCTTTATAGTAGTACGCTCTTTGTAAATTTACCCTTCTATAACAGCCATGTAAAATTTCTAAGATTACCAATAATAACCCTAAATATTTAATTTGATCAAATTTATTAAAACTTTAATGCACCATTTATAATAAAATTATTGTGTCAGTACATACTTTCATAATTAAAATTTTTATTTAATTTGATTAAAAAATATACTTGTATATTTTATTCCATTTTATAAAAGGTTCTATCATGCATAATGTCTAATATTTGAAGATCTGCACATACAATCTTTTCCACCTGACAAAGTTTCAATCTTGTATATTGCTTGAGATTTGATGATTTGCACATATCTTTTTCAGAGTTCTTCCATATATCTTGAAGGAATTTGATTTTCTAGTAGCTTCTAAATGTGTACCTTAGAGTTAAAATCTTTGTACATTTAGTTATGAATTTTGTTAATAATATATTAGATGGCTTTAATGCTTAATTAGTGAAATATGCACATCTTTCAAGATTTTAGATTTGAATAATTTCTTATCTATTATACATTAAAAAGTGAAAAAAGATTATATTTTTAATAATGTTTGTCTATAACACCCAAAAATATTTAAACGTCGAATGTTGTTATAGGTGTATTGCAGTCATTCACTATAAAAGCTTATAAATATGGGAATAAACATTGTTGTTAAGAGAGGTTTTATATTCCTTTTACAGTTATGTAAATCATTATATCATACTATATTATAAGTGTGAAGCCCAAAGTGTAAGATTAAATTACTAAAATACCCATCAAAACCTAAATGACCTTTTTACCCTTTACTTAAACACTATTTATGTAATATTTTTGTACCAAAAAGTAAACTTACATTCAATTTTGTACTCTAGCATCTTATAATAAATACGTAGGGGTAATAATAAAAGCCATTATAATGATGCTTGAAGATGTAGACACTGAATGAATACTTTTAATACATGTACATATATAGTACACTAATCAAATGCATCCCTTTAGTTACTCTCGAGAAATGAGAAACCAGGTATATACAATTTTTTTATTCAAGTATCACATATCTTTGAGATCAAATTTTAGAGTGTATGAAGAGTTCTCTTGCATCTGCCATAAAATTAACTTATCATTGCTTAGAGTTTTTACATTTGTCCTTCAATATTAACCCTTTAAAAACTAAATTAACCTTCAACATTGATGTAGAAAAATGTAATTATTAATTCAGTTTACGAATTTTGAAAAGCTTTGTACTGATTAATATGGATACACGTGCAACACACGTGAACAGAAGCTAGTTAATAAAAAAGACCCAAGGTACTAGATACCTAGGGGGGCAACTCTTTTAGATTATGATGTTTAATGTCTGGAACCTCTTTTAACATTTTCCCCTTTTCCCTTTAAATTTTTACTTGAGGTGGTGGGACCCACTAAAATGTCAACTGACATTAACCCATAGTTTTATAAGTATAATAAGTTCATCCCTAAAAACTTTAAAAGTCGAACGCGTACCATTTTAAATCTTGGATTCACTTCTGGGTGGGACAGGTGCAAATTTGATAAATTGTGTATTAGTTTTTTGGGTTTACTACAAGGTTTTTTGAAATTTTGAGGGGAAAGCGGGAGAGAGCAATGCCAACCTTCAGCTAAACGTGGATCCACCAATGATAGTAGATGGCATGTCTATGATCTTCAGATGCTTATCATCGTTTCACATATTTCATATCTTCCTTTCTCTTGATCTCTGCAGCTAAAATGATCCCAATCTTCATGATGTTTGCTGGGGGACCTTTGGGGTCTGGAAACCAATGGTATTGCCTTTTAATTTTGCTTTTATTACAAGTATTTCTCATTAATGTGGATCAGTTATATGTTTATTTGTATTAGCCTGTAGACGTTTGAATTTCAGCCAACATTTTCCCCCTTCTCACTTTGTAGATTTCTGCTGCCTTCACTATGCAGGTTTTCATGGATTCATTTGGACGACCTTGTAGATCTAATATATGAAGCTCTATCCAATCCATCCTATAAAGGTAAATTCATTTCCAGACGTCTATAGTATGTAGATTTCAGTCATATACCCTTTATGGAACTCTAAGTTACTATAGTCAGAGGCGAAGCCAGAATTTGAAATTTATGGGTTCAGGATTCTAGATCGTTTAAGTTAGTAAAGGGGCGGAGGCACGTTGATTTGAGCTGTGTCATCCGACACCGCTTCGTCGACAATTTTTTTTAATTAATATGTATGTAAAATAGAACTACGTAAAACAAAATAACAATAAATAGATTTCCGGGTGGTAGTCAAGAGTTCGAACCCCTGCTAGGTTGATTTTATTTTTTTAAAATTTTCAGCATTATTCTGGAATAGAAGCCAGCAAGGCTTGATCCTAGCTACAACTTCTTCCCTAAAAAGCAATAACTAAACCATCTGCGACAGCATTCCGTTGGTATATATCACTGCCAAAATACTTTTAATGATTCATAGAGTAGAGAAAGAAGTATTTCTAATGAGTCTATTGTAAATGCAATTACTTAGAACTCGTTGAAGAGAGAGTTGTAATAGGGTACTTGAATTATGTTTTTTTTTTTAAATATGAAATAGGATGTCATTATAGTGTTTTATTTATTGGCTCACTTCTTTAAATGTCGACACCTCTTACCAGTGGCGGATCCAGGATTTTAAAATTATGGGTGCTCGCTGATAAAGACTCCAAAAGAAGAGGAAAAATGAATTTATTTATGGGTGCTCACTCAATATTTATCTAAATATTTGTACAATAGCCTATGTAAATTACTAAATATGGTCAAAGTTAATGGGTGCTTAAGCACCCACAAGTGGCTATGTGCATCCGCCACTGCCTCTTACGAAAACTTATGCGTACGCCCCTGAGTTAGTGGGTTCTAAATTAGTAATTTATACATATTCAATAGATCTCTTAAAATAAATATAAGGTTTGAACAAAAGTTACTGGGTTCGTCCGAACCCGTAACTCGTGCACTAGCTCCGCCCCTGCCTATAGTTACTTAACACGGTCATTGATTATTAACTTTGCAACTTCCAGTAGAGTTCTCATTGACTTAAGTTCGACCAGAAAAGGATGACCTTTTTCCTTGCTGTAGGTCCTTTTCTGTGTTTGCATTTCTATACGAACAGTAAGCTGATGTAGATTAACAACTAACTGAAATTTAAGTGTAGTTAAACTGACAGTAAGTCATCCGATGGCAGGGGTGATTAATGGAACAGCGCCAAATCCTGTTAGGCTGGCAGAAATGTGTGAACAACTGGGATCTGTTTTAGGGCGACCTTCATGGCTACCAGTACCAGAAATTGCACTCAAAGCTGTCCTTGGAGAGGGTGCATCTGTGGTAGGAGTTTTCTAACCTCAGCTTATTACCTATTTGTCTGATACTTCCCTCTAGTAATCTTGCTACAACTTAACTTCAACTTCCAGATATTCCTTTTGAGTTCAGCTTCAAATGGAGTACTTTTTTTTTTCATTAACTTCAACCAAATATTGTCCAAATGCCTAGTAATGTGTATTTCAGGTGTTGGATGGGCAGAAGGTGGTTCCAACGAGGGCCAAGGAGTTGGGTTTTCCATTCAAATACCGATATATCAAAGATGCTCTGAAAGCAATCATGTCATGAGACCATCAATCATCAACCAATTTTCTATCTATACATCTTGAAGTTGTCAACTTCATAGGGTCCAAAAGAGTATTGAGTTAATGCATTTCAATGGCGTGGGAGAAAAGTGAAGAAACAAATAACTGTTCTCTTCCTTGTCTGGGCGTATCACTTTTTCCTCATTTTTTTGTAAGTCATAATTCAATTTGTAAACATCAAGCCCGTTTGAAAAGTATGCGCACCTTCATACCGGTCGGTGGCAAAGCCAGGAAATTCAATAAGGGTGTTCAAATTTTGAACACTCTTTGCCAGTGTGCTATGCAAGGATGTTCAAAGTCTATTTTTAATCAATAACAAGGAATAGTTTATCTTATAGGTAGTATAATTTTTCGGCGAAAGGTGGTGAGTTGACCACCCTTGGACCAACATAGCTTCGCCCCTGATACCGGTCAACGCAAGTCCTCCATGCGTATTATAAATTGAGTCATTGACAATTAACTTTTCAAGAACTCTAGGGCGAGTTCATATTGAAAGTTGCAGATTAAGTGCAATTGAATTCGAATTTTCAACTCAAGCTATATATATCAGTTGAAGTTATTTCTAAAAGTACAAAACACTTTTTCTATCTTCAAATGAGGTAAGGATAGACATTCAATTTGATGAGGGCACGTTTCTGTTAGGATTTTGCCCTGAATTTCTAATCTATTAGGACTCTCTTTCTTGAAGGAATGGAATAAGACTCCTAAAAGGATTAAATCTCCTTAATATGTCTTATCCTTTTCTTGGAAGACAAGTTTTGCACATCTATAAATTAAGAATCTCTACTTCTCACAAAAGCACAAAAAAAAAAATATCCACAATGTAGCCATTAAAGAGTTTTGTTTAGGGGGAGATTTTTCTCTAGATAGTTTTCTTCTTTTATATTAATTTTATCATATGTAGATCAATTGATCAAGCCATTATAAACTATTATGCTTAGTTTAGTATATTTTTCTTTTATCGTCTGATTTATTTCGATCCCAACAAATGGTATCAGAGCCAATGGTTCAGAGTCAACGATTGAATGAGGTTGAAGACAGATTCAATGCGTGTTTAGATCAAGACGATAATGAAGATTTATTCAGCATGCTACATGTGGAGATAAATTTACAATCACAATTGTATTCAAAACGCCTGCTGCTGCATCTTTATTGGAATAAAAACTCCTTCGAACCCATATTTTGGCCGCTTTTAACCAATGCCAGTTTTAAGTCATGCCTACTTGCAGCGCATGAGTTCCAGTGCCAGTTTTAACTCACGCTTCTTTTTAATGCATGGGCTTCTTTTACCCCATGTTTATTCTTAACACGTGGACTCCTTTTAACCAATACTTGGGCTTCTTTTAACCAATACCAAGATTTTCAACCTATATCGATTTTTAATCATGGCAAGCAGCAGTGACGAAGATTATGTGAAGAAGGTGAAACAACTTTGTCAAGAAAATTCAGGCCAAGGGGAGATTGTTAGAATTTTGCCCTGAATTTCTAATCTATTAGGACTCTCTTTCTTGAAGGAATGGAATAAGACCCTAAAAGGATTAAATCTCCTCAATATGTCTTATCCTTTTCTTGGAAGACAAGTTTTGCACATCTATAAATTAAGGATCTCTACTTCTCACAAAAGCACAAAAAAAAAAAAATATCCACAATGTAGCCATTAAAGAGTTTTGTTTAGGGGGAGATTTTTCTCTAGATAGTTTTCTTCTTTTATATTAATTTTATCATATGTAGATCAATTGATCAAACCATTATAAACTATTATGCTTAGTTTAGTATATTTTTCTTTTATCGTCTGATTTATTTCGATCCCAACAGTTTCTGCACCTTAATTTAAATTGATTGAATGGAATAGCGGATACAATCCCTGTACAAGTTTAAGCTCCCATAATGGAGAAAGAACGAGAATGTGTCGAAGAGAAGCCAACCGAAAGATTTTCAAGTCTGCAAGCAGCAGGCAACGGAGTTTTGACACAGTTTCCTACAAAAATAAAACTATTTACCCTTGTCTACCCATTTGTTTTTCTACCTATAAACTAATTACATTCTCTACCCATAATAGGTTTTGTGGGGAATTTTTTCTTTATTTTCCAATTCTTTTTTATTTCTATGCTTCTTTCCTTTCTTTTTTCTTTTCTCCTTTTTTTTCTCGTTTTCTTCTTATATTTTTCTTTTTTTCTTTTCTAATTCTATTTTTTATATTCTTTTTCTCTTCATAATCTAATTTCATTTACTGTTTTCACTATTTTTTATTATTTTTTTTTTATATTATTACTAAAGAAAAATCAAATTGTGTACCAATTAAATGTAGTTAATACAACCAAAACAATATTAACTAACATATGATACCAGTATAGTATATAGCTATACCAACAGGGTATACAATTGTACGCAAAGAGGTAGAAAATTTTTAATTCAATTATTAAACTGAAATAATATTAGTTTTAAAAAAAAATTAAAAATTCTAAAAGGATCTAATTGTAAGAGTATACCGTTACATCATATAGCATACTATTTTTTAATTTTTCTTTTTGCATTTTCAGTTTGCCCCTCACGCTTGGGTAAAAGCTTAAAACAAATTAAAAGGGAAAAGACAAGTGAATTTACAGGTAATAAGTATACTATTATAGTATATTGTATACTATTACAGCATATTGTTACAGTATCTTGCATATTATTACAATATACCATAACAATATATTGTATACTATAATAGTATACTGTTGCAGTATAACTATATACTCCTATAGTATATTAGTATACTGTAGCGGTATACTGTTTTGTAAACTATAATAGTATAGTGTTGCAGTATAGTTATATACTCCTACAACATATTGTATACCGTAGCGGTATATTGTAGTTGTGTTCTTCTTCGATTTTCAACTGAAAATTTCGATCTCAATCACCTCAAATCAGCTCCAATCAGTATGAACTTCCATAAGGTACTATAAGCAATATTTAACAGCACCCACTTTGAATCAAACAAGAAATCTTCAAAAATAAAATTGAGCTTCAAGCCCAACAATGCTGGATATTCAAATACACAAAAATCTAGATCTAGGAAACCAGAAAAACTCAAACTTTCTCTTCTAGCTAAGGATTCTTTCACCCCCTCTCTCCATTTCCTGCTCGCAACGCTCGTACTACAAACAAATAGCCAGAAAATGACAAAATAAACACAACACGAAACAGAAACAAAGGGATAGATTCGGAAGAAAAAGTAGAGGAAAAAGAATTAAGTAAATTAACTGAGCTTAATCCTTGAAACAAGTAAGCAGAGAGAAAATCGCAGAAATAACAAAGGGCTTCAAAATTCACACACACATAGAGAAAAATTCAAGAAGAAGAAAGAAGGAGCGAAGTTATGTGAGCTTTGGAACAGAAAAATANGTAAAATTTGCGGGCGTATTTTTCCTGATTTTGAACAGTGTTTTCGCTCAGATTTAAAGTGGCTAAATTTCGATGACTTTTGAAACTTGGCTATTTTTCAACGACCAGTGGTAAATCTGGCTATTTTTGAATTTCTCCCTAACTTGAAAGAAACTTTTCAGCCTTTAGCCCACTATTAAAGACATACTTTTAGGGTTTTTATTATTTTCTTCTTTCTTCATTCCCTTCTCTCTCTCACCGCCTTTCACTCCTTTCTCTCTAACCCACATAGATCCCTCATCCTCTATTAGCCCCCGCTATTCCCCTCCTTTACCCCCTACGCAATTCTGCCATTAATGGCTCGAAGAAGGCTCGAAGAAAGACTCCATCGTCCATGGTGGCAAGCAGAAGAACGAAGAAGATTTTTGAAAGAAACATGAAAATACACACAGATCTGAAAATAAATAGCTCTCAAACTTGATTTGCACCAACAAACAACCACTAATTTTGGAGGATTTTGAAGTTTGAAGTTCTGGTAATTTTGGAAGATTCTGAAGTTTGAAGTTTGAAGTTCTGGAAAATCATAACTATGTAGCAGGTTGTATCGACACTGTATAATAGTGTATAATTGTGTATATGGGTATACAGACACCTCTTATACACTATTATACATGTTTATACAAGTTATACAGTATTGTATAATTGTGTATAAATATGTATATTTGTGTATAATGTTGTATAAATATATATTTTTTTCAGTTTATAAGGATGTATATACATTGTTAGCGTGTAAGAGGTCTCTACAGAAGTTTGACACTTCCTTCTCTTCTTCTTTTTCGTGTATGTGCTATATGAAACAGAATTGTACACGTTGGAGGAATTCTAATTCATTTATCAATTTTTTGTTTTTCTTTTATCCTGTTGAATTGCTTTAACAATTGCACATAAAGGTGTTTGAATTTCTTACCTTCAGATAATATGTTGATTGTGTGAAATAAGCTGTTTTTTCGGGAATTAGCCTATTATTTTTAGGCTATAGATTTGCAATGTGATATCTAGGCTATTATGTTGCAAGTTAGGTGTGTGAGTTGTACTTGAGTGAAACTATCCCGAAAATAAAATAAAAGGCTAAACTACATGCATCCATCTTCTCACGGCGCGAATGTAAGTTACTAGACTTGGACTTGGGGTCAGACTTCCAAATCATAACATCATTATCAAGGATTCGGCTGAATAACTGAAATAAACTGTTCATTTATGCAAAATAATAAGCACTTGTAAACAAAGTATGTGAGAGTTTAAAAGCCCAGAAATCCGGGATTTAGATGGAAACTGTATATCAGTTGTCTTTGGAACAAAAACTAAGTCGATTGATTATACATTGATCGCATAGTCCATGTAATTTGACTGAGCAGATATGATGTGAAAACAGAGGATAAATAACATGAATATATTACAGTTAACCCCTCAAGGAGTACTTCTTCCCAGTGAAAGCTTGAAACTTTGGCTCTTCTTTCTTTTGAGGTTCCTCCTTCACGGGTTCCTTCACGGGTTCCTGCAGATATAGAGGAATTATAACACGTTGAAACACATCAGTAGCCAAATATTTAATCAGCAGTTAGTACTTTGCCAACGGCCAGGAACAGATAAACATGTGATAATGAAATCTATGCATGTGGAGATGAGAAACCTTTTGTTTATCTGGATTCCGGTTTGCATTTGACCCAAAGACAAGCTTCCCCTGTGTCTGACGATTGGAGCTTTGAGAGCTTGAACCGGCAGCTGACTGTCCAGTAGCATTTGCCATATCAGGTCGCTTGTCTTTAGACCCAGATGTGGAAACAGGTGGAGGTTGCTGTTTCAGAGGTTTCCCATCCAATCGTCTTGCTGAACCAGTAAAAGGGTTGAATTTCGGCTCCTCCT